CCAAAACCAAGAAAAACTGAAAAAAAAAAGGGCACTGGGGAGGCAGGAGGGCAGACAACACACCCGCACATAAGGCAGGGAAACGACAACAACCAATGCACAAGGCAAGTACCAAAACCAAGAAAACTGAAAAAAATAAAAACTGATGATGATAGATTGTTTCGTCAGAGTTGCACCGACTCATCAGGAGGCTGAACCCTCGACAATCTGCAAAATTTCCGTATTTGATGGTTTGGGTCATGAACTCTTTGACCCATGTTGAAGGCAGACTGTCCCCCAGCGGAACATAGCAGTGGGCAGCAACCTTGCGGAGCACCAGGCAGCGCAGTAGAGGCAACACGGCTGCACAACGCCAAAAACGACTGCAAGGAACAACTCGACATGCAGGACACACAACATGCCGTCTACGCAGTGAAGCACAAGGCAACACCACCGAGACAACCATGCTGCAAGGGATGACAGGGCAACCGGACGAGCAGCAGAGCAACCATCCGGTGAAGCACAAGGCAACCGAACTAAGACGCACAAGCAAAGCATACGGAAGGCAAGGCCAGCGGATGAGCGGCAAGGCAGTGGAGCAGCGAAGCGCAAGACAACACCAGCAACACGGCCACACCACACTGTGGACACAGCAATTTGTTGAGAACCACGTGTGAAGCAAGCGGGACAGACAGCAAGGCAGCGGCGGAGCACAGACGAGGCAGTCCACACATCCAACACGGAGCAAAGCGGCAAATGACCTACTCACATCACGATGGAGAACACCGCAGACTGTTGGTTCCCACCACCCACTGAGCCAGGGAGTCCCTCCGACGAGCATCCGTCATCACCCACAGGCAACACAGACATCCCGAACCGAACCCCCCCCCGAAGAGTGCAGTAGGCACTCCACACTAGGAACCACCGACTGTTTGGCACTACAAAAGTGCTCAGTTGGGCACAGAAAAATACTTAAAAAAAACAGAGGGAGCATGGAGTGCCTGCCTCTGGCTGTGAGCACTCTAAGAGCATACTTAGGCCGGGACTTTCTTGACGGAATCTGGTCTTCCTTGCGGTTCTATTCGGTGAAAAAGATCTGAAACGTTTTTTTCTTACCAATTCTGGCCTTACCTGCAGTCCAATTCGGTTAAAACAGTGCTAGTGTGAGTATGGCCAATATCTGTTGATCTCGTCCTATGGTTAGCTCGATAGGCTGCAAGAGCACAGGACTTCTCCATACTTTTCTTCCTCCTTCTCCCAACTTCTTTCCCTCCCGCTTGCACTCTCCCTCCTACCTCGTCTGTCAATGCATTCGTGTTTACGAACATCCCTGTTCCATTCCACGGCCCGGCTTTATTAACGTGTAACCCCCAACTCCAAACCCTTCACACGTACCCTTGAACCCTAAACCCACTACCAACGACTGTCTCCAATGGTCGTTCTTTGTGCCCATAAACACTAAACACAACCTTAAACCCTAAACCCACAACCCATAACTATCTCCCATGGTGATTGTCACCCTGATAAAACCTTGGTATGTAACCTTCCACCCTAGACCCGAAACACACAACCTACACAACCTTAACCCTAAATCACAACCACAACTATCTCCCATGGCCGTCGTCACCACCCTATACCCTTGGCACGTAACCTTAGACCCGCAAACCCTAAACCTTAAACCCTTGGCACGTAACCTTAGACCCGCAAACCCTAAACCTTAAACCCTTGGCACGTAACCTTAGACCCGCAAACCCTAAACCTCAAAACCTTGACAGGTAACCTTAGACATCCACAATCCACGACTATCTCCCACTGCTGTTATAACCCCAAACCCTGAGCCCTGAACGGAAAACCAGAAATCCACGACTATTACCCACTGGCATTCCACGTCTCACCTCTGTTGGCGTGCCAAACATGAGAGGAGCGGAAACAGGCTTGAGGGAGGGCAACGTTGATGAGCAATGAGCAAGCAAATCAACAAAGAGGTACTCACACCAGGACTTCTCCAACGGAATCTGGCTGTATTTCTGGCCAAGATACATCCCTGTAAAAATTCCCTGGTCTGACTGACCCACTAACTCTATGTACTATCAGTGCGATCTGCAGTCTGTGCTTCCATCAGATCTACTGAGGCATGCAGACCAACAGTCGTTATCCCATACAACCCCTGACCATGACCATATTTCAATACTCTACCACCACCACCTCCTCCTCCTCCTCCTCCTCCACGAGCACCTCCTACTCCTCCTACTCTTAGACTACCTCTTCTCCTTTTCCTGCTCTCCCAGATCCCAACGGGAAGTTTAATCTCCAGTCAGTCCGCTGCCCTTCGTCTTTGGAGGAGTTCCCTTGCACAATCCTCCTCGCACGTTCGCTCATCCTCCTCCTCCTCCACATCATAACCGTCATCACTGTGGCAGATAGGCACAGGCATCATTGACACTGTCACAGACAGGAACACGTGGAGCATTCTCAGACCGCCATCCATCTTCAACCTGGGGACTTCCGGCCACGGGCTGCTCTTCACGCACAGGATTTCCCGCCACAGACCCCTCTCCACGTGTCGGGTTTCCCGCCACTAGAGTATGTCCCACCACAAACTCCTCTCTACATATTGGGTTTCCTACCACGAACTGCGCTCCACTCACAAGTTTTCCCGCCATGAACTCATCTCCAGCCTGCGGATTTTCCCATTTCCCACAACGGAGAGCTCTTCATGTACAAGATGTCCGTCATGAAGTGGTCCCCAACACTTTCCCGCCACCGATTGCTATCCGTGTGTGCGGTTTCCCGCCACCAATTGTAAGCTTTCCCGCCACAAACTGCTCTCCATGTGAGGGGTTTCCCACCACGGACTGCTCTCCTCTTGCTCGATTTCCCGACTAAAACTGGCCCCCACGGGCGGCGTCTCCCGCCGCCAGCGGCTCGCCAGTCGCACGATTTCCCGCCATAAATGGCTCTCTTTTTTTTTTTTTTTTTTTTTTTTTTTATGTCTGACATCTTCACAAAAACTTCGCTGACCTGTGCTCCATGTGACTGATTCTCTGCAAGATTTCCTACAAGCTGTTGTGCATATGCGAAGTTTCCCGCCACCAGCCCCTGCCTCGGTCTCGTCTGCCAAGTGTTTGCCAGGCAGACCTTCTGCCAGGCGCCAACGTGCCAGGTGTCGATTAACAAGTGCTTCCGTCTTCCCCCGAACATAACGCACCCTGATAATGAACGTACGTATACAGCCAAAATGAGGGTGCGTTCTGATCGGGGGAAGACGGAGGTCCTCGTCAGGTGTGGCCTCCTTCATCACGTGTTCCCTTACCCAAGCCTCCATCACATGTTCCTTTGCAGGACCCTTCAGCATTGGAGGGTGTGGACCCCCGAGGAGGTCTTCCATGTATAGTTTCCCCATGGTGGCGTCATATGCTCCGCCAGCCAACTGTCGTCGCTGCAGATTGCCTGCCACGTGTCCGCCTCGAGAGGAACCTGCCACGTGGCACTTTCTCCTCCTCGCAATCTGAAGAACATAAACCTTATCGAAGTAGTCGGCCGAGGGGGATGCCACGTGGCGCTTGCTCCTTCGTGGTGTGTTGATCGGCAATCCCACCATGGGAGGATGGCGATGACGTGGCATGAGAAGCGATCTCTACATGGAAAACGGGCATGACGTGGCACGAAGACCATTTCCTGCCAGGAAGAATCGGGATCTCGTGGTACGATCAGCAGCAAATCCTTCATCGATCAATACAGAGGACGTGGCTTTCTCTCCCTTTTTCCAGATCGCTTGAACAGAACAGCGTGAATAGCTTTCGACCACTCCTCTGTTCTCCTTCCTAGCGTGTCCGGCGGTCACATCCCTACCCCCTCCTCCGCCTCCTCCACCTGTTGCTCCTCCTCGGTCTTCGCCGTGGCCAGCTCCAAGCCTCCGGAGACATATCCATCTACACAGCTGTCTTCATTCTGTCGGTTTCTGATTAGCTGTGCTGCTGACATACCGTCTTCTCTCTTGCGGGAGTCACACTCCATGCTGTCGATCGTACGAAAGCCGACAACAGGAGGAAAAGCAACAGAGACGAGCAGCAGGACGAAGGAGATTGCCGCTGCAGTGGTCATCCCGATCGCGATCCAAGACAGCCATCGCCTCCTGCCACCCATAGCTCGATGACAAGGGGTACTACGGGGGAGAACTGACGAGGAGGAGGAGCAGGAGGAGGAGGAGGAGGAGGAGGGAGAGAAGAGCGAAGAGAGAACGATCAGCCAATTACCCTGACCGTCATGGCCTGAGCGAGGCGTCGATGTTAATGGAAACTGCTGCTTCTCCTTCTCCTTCTGCTTCTGCTTCTGCTTCTGCTTCTGCTGCTCGGCCTTGAAGTGGCCGCGGTGGTCATCGCGACCCGGACCCGACGACGATGAGGGCTGATCGCTGTCACTGATAGAACCAGAGGCAGATACAGACGTCAACGTAGACTGCTGCATTTCAACTTTTTCGAGTAGCTGCTGATGCTGCTCCGACCCGAAGCGCTGGTGAATGTACTCCTCTACCGAGAGCACAGGAGGCCCCCGATTTTCGTCATCCTCATCGCCGCCGGATGGGCGCGTTGATGTCCACCCAAACTGCATTCCCTGCTCCTCTTCCTCTTCCTCCTCCTCCTCCTCCTCCTCCTCCTCCTCCTCCTGCTGCTGCTGCTGCTGCACTGGCTTGAAGTGGAGGTGGTCTTCCTCCGACGCCGCTCCAGGCTCATCGCTATCACCCCTGAACCCTGAGGATGGTCTTGACTTCAACGGAACCCCTCTTTTCTGCTGCTGCTGCTGCTCCGACTCGAAACGGTGGCGGTTATCTTCCGCCGCCACCGCCGCTGAGGACCCCCAGATGTCCTCAAGCTTCTTATTACCCCTACTAGCCACTCGCACGCGTGCAGCACGTGCTGTTTGCGGTGGTGGTGCTGCCGCGGGCGCAATGTCCTCGTCGTCGGACAGCAGAGCCGGATAAGGCGTCGAGGTCTCATCACTGTCCACTCCGAGGATCGAGAACGGAGGTACCTGTGACCTCTCAACCAGCGCGTCCTTCATCTCTGGTACTGCAAAGACTTCGAAGGAAAACCTCGGTAGCTTCCCTGTAAGAACATCACTAACTAATGACAACGCCACCGGATGGCGCGCTGCCCCTGACACAGTAAGCATACGCTGCAGCACTTCTCGCCGTTTTGCAACTCCTGTTCCTCCTCCTCCTCCCTCCTCTTCATCCCTCGCGATCTCCGTCAAGGTATCGACAATTTCGTCAGAAAACAGCATACGGAAGACCGCCACAGGATCGGCTTGTCGGCTTGTCACCCAAAGCAGGCTGTGCCGGTTCCCACCGAGCGGAATGCCCAGCCAACCGCGAACGACTATATATTGGTCGACGAGTGTAGTTTGTAGAACAAATTTGTCGCTGAAGTCGCATCGACGGATGCGTTTCGTTTGAGTAGGGTCACGTTCTTTGGCCCATGTTGAATTGAGCATTTGCCTCGCCATAGCACAATGGACTGCTCGGTCAAAGTCAAACCTGTTGACTTCATTGGTATTCCACTCGAATTTGAGACTCGGAAAGCGGCCTCGGAACGCGTCCATATTCTGCAAAAAGAACATTCAAAAAAAAAAAACAAAAAAAAAAACCATGTGACAGGCAACATAAAAAATAGGCACAGAGTCACAGACAGAACCACACACACGAACGAGCGACTGAGCGCATCATTAGTACAGACGAACCATGGAATGCGAACAAAGGGACATAGATAAAGTCAAAAATACAAGCACTGTTTTAAAATTCTTGGTTTATCTTCGGGAAAACCGTCAACTTCATTGCTCAACGGGGATGAGGCAGTACCCCCTTCACGGTTTTTTTGTTTTTTTTGTTTTTTTTGTTTTGTTTTTAATACAGCACTCTGGGGGTGAAACGGTCACTCCAGTCAGCACCAGCTGCCTCTCATCGGATCATTCGCTCGACGGCAAAAAACCTTTCAAAGTATACATTGCTTCACGGGGGCCAAGTCCCACTAGCAGCGTTGAGCTACCTCAACGCCTGAATGTGGACGGTTTTGCGGAGATGTGCAGAAATGGTGTTGAGTTTCCAGAACTGCACGTCTCCACAAACTCGTCCAGATTCAGGCGTTGAGGCAGCTCAACGCTGCTAGTGGGACTTGGCCCCGGGTTTTAGGGTCTGATCCCACACTGCGTAGTGAAGGAACTTCCTGTTTTGGGTGGGGGTTATGATTTGCTTCTTTTTTTCTTTTTTTTTTTTTTTTTTTGTACATAACATTTGAGGTGTGTGGCAGTCCAGTTTTTGGGCTTGACCAGTGATGTCTCGCCTTTAAACCGGACTGCAAAATTTTGTAAGGGACGCCAGGCCCGATTCCTGGCTCTTTAAGAAGATGTTTGACAGTCTCAAAAAAAAAAAAAAAAAAAAAAAAAAAAAAAAATAAAAAAGGGGAAATACATTATTTACTTCTTCTTCTTTTTTTTTTTTTTTTGAAATACGGGCCCAGTGCCCAAGGCTTGTATTATCATGAAACAATTTGAGGGATCCATTATTTACCACTACAGCGGATTTTCCTTTCGCAAAAGAGAGAAACTCGCGGAAAACCGTTCCCCGCAATGAAATGCAGACCTGAGTCGGAGGCCAGAGCACCGCCCCGAGGTAATTCCGGGAGTTTTCATCTGATGTCCCGTTTGTAGAAGTTCATCTCGATTTTCCTTATGCCGGAAGAGCTGGAAGCTGAGGTAGGTGATCACAAGTAAGGGCCTCCTTTGACACTCCTTGGGAGGCGACTCCAAGGATTTCGTCTTCTTTCCACCTGTCCTTGGAGCCTGAAAAGAAAATGTGAAAACACTCTAGAGGACAAATCCTCGGGCTCCGAGGCAAATCGTCCTCGGGTATGAGGGACGTCGTGAGGTCCTTTGGAGCCCGAGGATTCACGAATGGCGGGATGGCGGCGTCGAGCTTCGGAGGAAATGTGCAGGCGGTAGGTGGTCCATTCGTGATCCGGCGACCAGAAGACGGACATCGTGAGCCGTCCTTGTCGAAGAGGTCCTCCAACGGCCTCCAGAGTTGACCATTGGCAGCAATTTGCAGCATGGCGCGTCAACATCTTCAGGCAGCCGTCGGGGGGCGGCCTCCCTACGATCAGAATTTCGGATAATGTAGTCGTGCTCACGACGAGCCGCTCTTTGCACGAATGTGCTGTCCTTGTCGTCTTCCTGATTGCCATGTGTCGGCACTTGTGGCGGATGCGACGATGCAAGTGCGTGTGTGACGTTTCAACCTCACACCCTGTGCTGTCTTCGGGTCGGAGTGATAAAAAATGCGGCACAGGCCCTGAAAGAAGAGCAAAATGGGGTGTGCCAAGGATTTTTGGAAATTTAAAACGGAGTGCGGGGACACCAACGAAACTGAAACCCCCGCGTGGTTCCAGTTTTAGTGAGAAATGGCCATAGCCGCGCGGAAAAGAAATAGCGCGTGCTGCTTTCAAGTGTTTGTTTAATCCAAAAAGTATCTCTGAACTTCCATGCGGTTTCAAACGGAAAGGCGGGGGTGCGCATGTGGGATCTCGTTTTCGAATTAAGTCCCGGCGCCGTTCGTTATAGAGCTCGGAATCCGACGTGGGACGGCCTCAGCCTGGTCGCTCTTTCCATGTGTTCATCCTCGCCACGTGCTCGGTAGTGGAACCCCTTTTCCCGAACCCCTTTTCCCGATACCGTTCGGTGCGACGGCAATCACGACACAGAGTATTGGACCAATAAGGTGCCACCGACAGTGGCAGCGTCATCTAAACACACGGTAGCTAAGCTCAAAGGTACTGCACGGGTAATGACCTCAACAAATCAGTGAAAACCAATGACACCAGCGGCCTCAAGTTCCTCAACCCCAACGGCTGAGCTTGAAACATCAGCGCTCGGGTACGCCACGACGGCATCGGTCCTTAGCAGCAACAGCTTAATAGGAATAAATCAGCACTAATGAAGACTCAGAACTCGGTTGCAGCGACATCAGCAATCAACAATTGGTTGTGTACGACACTTAGGCCGCGTCAACTCGAGTGGCAGACCGGGCGGTATAATAGCTATGACACCTTTAGAATTTAGACGATCAACCAAACTGTAGTGGCAACCACGACGCCGTGAAGTCAGTTGGCTAGGCACCTTCAGAATGACAAAATAGGGATGATTGAAGATCAATCATAGGCACAGCAAGTTGGCAATCGGTTATAGCAGCAGCTCCATTGTTGAGGGATCAGCAATAGCAAATCTAAGAAGCACCAGCTCCGCTGCTCAGAAGACAACAGCCCCCCTGTTAATAGAATGGAACAGCTTACCACGCCGTCTAGCAATGGTGGCAACAATCGAAGCACATGCGAATGTGGAGATCGTCCCCGTGACCTGGTACACCGGTGTCCCGTTTCACCGAACCTGGCCGTGACCCCGACCAGATACAGGCGGCTCAAAGTAAGCCCGGATCGGCCCTTTATTCAATAAAAATATCCCTTTCAGAAATTGAGATATGCTACAGGGTCACAGCACTGAACAAGACATCGACAGGGGGTGGTGGAAGCCACCCCACATCAGCTCCACACTTACACAATACACATCACAGCAGTGCACAAGACTGCACCCCGGGCAACATGAAGAAGGACGGCCACTAGACTTTAAGGATTTATCTAATCAGATACTGCTACAATCACATGTCCATTCATACAAACAACCACATTGTTCAGGGACGCTGGACCCGCTTTCCAGCAGGTGCTGCTCCCCACCAATAGATGGAGCCTCCCGGATAGTGCTAGTGGTGCCTGCACTTACCAGCATCCCTAGTGCCATCTGTTCGGGTTGTTTTCGGGGGAAAAAAAAAAAAAAAAAAAAAAAAAAAAAAAAAAAAAAAAAAGATATGCTACAGGTATTTAGCTCTAAGATTACCATGGTCATCCAAGTGGTAAGGAAACTACCAAATGAATGACTGTTGGTTTAATGAGCCATTCGCAGTCTTTTTTTTTTTCTTTCTTTCTTTTTTTCAAAAAAACGCCCAGGTTGTTGTAGAGGCAGGGTATCAGGCACAGGACAACTCTCCGGAGTTCAACTACTCGAAGCTCAGAGTGACCACAGACGGAGGCCCCTAGGGGCTGACAGCCCGAAGTCCTATCGCAAGTCGTAACCCTTCCACACCTATCAGTTTGCCATTACCAGATCAGAGTTCAACTACTAGAAGCTCAGAGTGACCACAGACGGTGGCCCCTAGAGGTTGACAGCCCTAAGTCCTATCGCAAGTCTTAACCCTTCCACACCTATCAGTTTGCCAGTACGAGATCGGAGTCTACCCCTATAGCTTGGGACTCAACTGGTTGTATTGCAGGGCCTGGCCTACTCTATGCAGCTTTGTTCCTCCCCCATTGACCAGCAGATCCCTGGCTGACTGCCCTTGGTTGGGTTTAGAGGGGCCATCTCCCTCCTATTAATGTACAGTACCTCAATCCCTTCTATCCTACCCACTAGTCGGGAGACAGGCTCAGTACAGACCTAACCAATCCATACTTTATCAGCAACCCCTCTACTAGTCCCACCTAGTACCCTTATCCCCGTCCCATAGCCTACCCTTTAGAAGGTCCCCCCAGACCAATTCGGGACCCTGATAATGGGGCCATGAGAACACCCCTGGTCTATATACTGGCTAGAGACGACCGGCCAGATAGGTGGTCCTATTCCATGAGACAAGTATGGACTCGCACCTGCTGGTCATCAGGCAGACTCTAACTACCTAGGTAGTATTTCTACCACTGATGCGATTTCCCACCTACCCATGCTGTCTCCGTAGATGGCCTCGAGCAGCGAACTTATCCCTTAAGCTGCCTGAACCATTCAATTCTTACCCACTACAAGGTCCCTGTACCCCTCCCAACGCACTCATCCCAGATGAGACAACCTTACCCTCATGACTCGAGATGTACACGAGGGGGGACCACCTCTAGCCCTAGTACTCTCTGTGCCACCCCCTCTCCCTGTGAGATTTCCCATCTTGCCGGGAAGCAACCGTGGTACCACAGACATGAGATGGTAGCTCCCACAGGGGGAGGCAGGGAGTAATAGTCTAGGGATCCCAAGGCCTGCATATATTGCTAGATCGATACTGCTATGTATATAGTCAAACCCAACTTTAGACTACTATGCACCAGCGAGGCTCGAGTAGGGTTCTTATTAATTGGGTTCATCAAGACTTGACAATCACAGGCGCACATATACACAATCATGACCAGATACAGCCAAATGCACCCCTATATCTACCCCCTCTCCCCCCCTACCTACCCCATGGAGTAATGACCAGAATAAGCCTGAGATCATCGGATCAACGAACAGCAAATCCCGAAAGGTCCTCCTGCAAACCCATCCCAGCATACAACAACCATGGACGAGGACCCCTTGGGCGGTGAACAGGCAGTGTCTGTATAAGCTAACCATGCGTCGTCCCAAGGGGGGGTGTGCGAATGGGTGGGCGCTATGAAAGCGCCTAATGGCGGATGTGCGCGAGGCTGCAGAGTTTTGAACCTGCAACCTCATACCACAATGTGCATTTCCAGCCGGTGCTCTAA